TCTGGATGGTTGAGATAGTCTTGGGGCTACTTGGGCTGCTTGGAAAGCCACAGAAGTAGGCTGGGCCACGAGAGCAGGCTGAGTCGTGAGAGTGGGTTGCTCGACGGGAGCAGGCTGGGCCACGGGAGTGGGCTGCTCGTTGGGAGCAGGCTAGGTCACGAGAGCAGGCTGCTCGGCATGAGCAGGCTAGTCCGCGAGAGTAGGTTACTTGGCGGGAGCAGGCTGGGCCACGAGAATGGGCTGCTCGACGGAAATGGGCTGCTCAGTATGTGATGCATATGAATGCAAGTCTTGGGCTCGGACCCGTGCAAACTTGGATGGCACGGCTTGGGCCATGGTGGAACCTTGTAGTGGTGGTACCATTCCGCCTATGACCACATTTAGTCTCGTTGATCGTCGCAGTCCCATTTCTTGAGTATTAGAATTTTCACTTGTGAAATTTTCTAAATTTCTAGCCATTATATTTTTCTTATACATTTTATCAAAGAACCTTTGCAAATAAAAAATTCTAATAATAAGAAGATATGAAAAATATTCTAATGGACTAGAAAATAAAGAAAAACATTTTTATGCGAGAGTCTTCTATAAGTATGGATCTCAACTCTCAATGAAAGCACCAATTTGTGGATGCAAATTTCTTCCTCCTTGATCTTGGACTATTTTGCACCTACAAAACAATTAACACCTTAGGTTAAGGACAAGAGCCTCACACGCCCACGATGAATGGGGGGGGGCTTTGGCCGAAGAACCTCCGATGCCAAAGTTAGAATTTAGAGAGAAAGAGTGTTTAGAGAATTTTGGGATTTTTTGCCAAAGTGTTGGAATGAGTTTTTGGTGAAAATAGGAGCCTATTTATAGGGCTAGGCTTGGCCATTTTTTCCAAGGAATGGCCGGCCCTTGAAGGAGTTTTTTTGTGGTTGAGATTTTGGTTTAATTAGCCAATTTATTGGCTAATTGAACCTTAAAGAATAAATTGGTGGGTACATATTTATTTAGAATAAAATTGATAATTAGGTTATGAAAAGGTCATACAGAATAACTAAATAATTAGCTAAAAAGGGGAGAAAAGGGTAAGGAAAGGTAGGAAATAGGATGGATCCCTTTTTTAGATGGGGATGGCCGGCCATTGATGTGGTTTTGGGTGGTTTATTTGATATAATGGGTGACTTAATTGATATTTAATGGATTAATTAATTGGGTAATTAATCCATTAATTAACCAATTAACATAATATTTTTGGAGGTTACCTTGCAAAAGGGAATTTGATGAGATAGACTTTGAATTGTTTACCTCTTTTGGAGCATCTCTGACTTTGTTGAAAAAAGATTGTCAACTGCTTGCGCGTAGAGATCCCGGTGTACCTCGGGGGTATTTTGGTCATTTTCGTCCAACAATCCACGTGTCGCCTTATGATTATTTTTGGCTCCACAGAAATTATTAAAATAATTTAGGAAAGAAGCATAACTAGAAACTCAACACCCTATCCACAGGATATTGAGCCCCATGCAAAGTGATGGATAACTTTAAGTCACTATTTAGCAGTGTCATCAAAATAAAAACATTGGATGTAAACTTTTTTTTTTTCTCCTCAATCATATTTGTTAAGAATGATGAAATCTTCAAGTGCGTGACATCAAAATAATAGGCAAATAATGTATCTTTTTTTCCTCAATCACATTTATTAAGAATGATGAATAGCTTCAAGTCATTGTCGACCAATGCCATCAAAATAATAGCATAAATACATCCCCCGGATCGAGTTTTAATTTTCCGCCCAGTTGACTATAGTGCTTTAGCAAGTGCAACGACGGTGACGTCTGCCTCCACTATGCAAGTATTGTTCATCAAAAAGCCTTCGTCTGCCTCATTCAAAGTGACCAGTGTGATGAATGACGCCCGACCCCAACTCCTTTGGGAAGCGCTGAACCAAAAATTACCTACAAGTAAAAACAATTCTTAGTAATTGCCGCACCCTATTTCGGGGTTTCATTAATTGAGAAGTGTGCGTTGTATATCTTTCTTTAGGTAAGATTTATGTTCCTTTCTTTTCCTTCTTTTTTTTTTTTTTTAAAGTTTATGTCTATGTAACTTCTTATTTCTTTAAAATTTCCTTTATACTATTGAGGTTTAAATAAAAATATTCTTCAACGAAAGGAGACTATACATGTGTGGTTACATTACATATAACATAAAACGCATAAATAGGGACACTCTTTACCTGATATACAACAATGAAGCTTGTGATGCATTTGATCTACAATGCGCAAGGTAATCTTTTGTAAGGATTTGGGAGCGAGGATGTAACTTTTTTTACATCAGCCAATGTTAAGTAAAGTGAAAGATGGGTACCCTTTGAAGTACTATTTCCCTTGGGATATATCACTATCTTCCTGCAATAACCAACAAATTTGTGTAAAGTAAAACTCCAAATAACGTACAGGTTTTAATGAAGATGCATTGAAGCTAAAAGCATCGATCTCCTTTCGTTCCTGGTGAGGGAGAGAAGAAAGTTGACAGTCATAAAAAAGAATGCTTGCTTAGTTTACCATCTCTGGTTCCCTGCGGTGAATGGTTTGGAGTAATAGCATTCATCTTTTAACTTTGAAAATTTCTTAATCTTCCAAACATCCGTGTACTTTGCAGCATTCTTGATCATTGATATGCACGTTCCCTTGCCTGCTCTTCTTTCTTTACGAACAAAGACCTCCGCTCCAAACACACAGGTGTCATTAATGACATATCCATTGGAGGCATCAGTAAGTTCTTTAAGGGAGATAAGTTTATTAAAACCCACATCAGGCGCCACCCCATGAAGGCACTTTTGCATTATCTTATCATCTAAGTACCGCAACACCAAAAAAAATTCAGTAAAATTAAGCAATGTGTTTTACATATAATAATATATTAACTGTTCTATATGATCTGCTGGATGCATGAGAATTAATGTAAATAGATGGGTATTTAATGTACGGAAATGTGTTCCACACACTCCCTTGATTCTTCTTTTGATTAGATTTATTCAATACAAAGACAAAAAGTAAACTTGGGTGTTCAAAGGGATAAAAGGAGTGTGCGGATATCACTTAGAGAAAACCACACACATACGTATACACATCATATATACCTTGAAAAACCACGTAGGTTCCCTTTTCCTGATCAAGCAAATACACTCTGAAATCAACATATACTTCCCAGTCAGGCTGAAGTGAATCTGTTCGAGCCATTTCCAAGTTGATAGAGATGTGGTGTCCCACATTTTTCTTCTTGTTTCCATATGGGAAGACCACCAGTTTCCTTTGATGAGCATAACATAAATACACAAGTTACCGAATAATATATACATAAGTAACAGAATAATATACTAGACATGAATGTTTTCTAACTTCGTTTATTTAATCAGCAGATATGTACAAGAATATGTACTACCATTTGTATCCTCCAGCTTCAAACTCGTCCGATTCACATCTATGATCCTCTGGAAGTTCTTTTAGCATTGAAAACGACTCTAATTTTAAAGTGTAGTGAGTTGCGGGTGAAGCCGAATATGATCTCGAAATCCCTGAAACTGAATAGTGGCAACACAACAAAGCATCTGAGTCACTAAAATTACGGAAAACCAAAACAATGCTTGAAACGCACGCAAAGAATTAGAGGCACAGAAAGTATCTTACCACCTTGACCCATGGCAACAAAAATTGGCCAGCGAACGTTGCAGGAATTGTGATCAGGTTGCAAACTGAAAGATATTAAACTAGAAGAATATAATGACCTGCAAACTCTACTCGATGAATAGAGCGAGTGCTGCACGTAAATATTTATAAAGAATATAAACACAAGTTTAATCCATGTGGGATATGAATTAAGATATCTACAAGTCACCCAAGAATTATAATTCAACATGATACAAAAACTCCAATGAAGACTAGGACTCCTTATTCCTGCAGAACTAGACAACAGCAGGAAGCATAGGTAATGCAGACGTCTTTGCTTTAACACAAACGACAGATCGTTTGTTTCGTGTTTATATATTTTTAGTTCTTAAGTCCTCCTCTAAGTGGCAAGAGGTGGATTGTCATGGTGGATAAATATTAACAGTCAATTATAAATTTATATATGTTAATAAATAATAAATGGGAATAAATAAATTAACAGAGTATAAACAAAATAAAAATATTAAGCAGACAACTTGAAGATTAAGGCTTACGTACCGCAATATCCTTGAAACATAAATTTTGTCCCTACTCAGTGCTTGTAGTTCTATGGACGTCTGCTTTATTAGGATTCAACGATCTAAGTCAGAATTCCAGCACCGGTAAACTTAACTTCTAGCAAATTTCTTTGTGATTCTCTGAGTAAGGAGGTTTAGGATTGTAGAAGAAGAATTAGATATTTTCTGTGTTCTAAATGTCATGCAGATTGATGTATATATAGTAGGTTTATACATGTTCGCAACAGGTATAAGAATGGGGTGCGTCTCTTGGAAGACATTTGTCTCAGAGGGGTGCTTTGCTCTGCATTCTTTCATCACTTCAGACTTCATCTGAAAAGATGCGAACATGTATAAGAATGGGGTGTCTGTTGGAAGACATCTTTCTCAGAGCGGTGCTTTGCTCTGCGTTCTTTCATCACTTCAAACTTCATATGAAAAGATGAGTATGTTGATAAAAAAATAATTAATTAATTAAATTTGAAATTAATTATATATATTAATTAGTACACCCCAAAACTCAACCCAAAGGTTAAGCCCAATTTCATTCTCCATGGTTCATCACTCCAATCACCACTGGCGGATCCACAGTGAGGTCGTCGGGTCGCACGACCCCTTGGAAACCATGAAAACAACCTTGAAGCTCCCATATGCGACCTCTTGGAGCTGGGGTCGTCGGGGTTGGACTCGCACGCCACCTCCAGTGCAATTTCTATTTTCGCCTGCTTCAGCTTCAAATCAGACACCTAAAACCCCCTCTGCATCTAATAGCTTCCAATCACAATACTTTCGGTTCTCTCCCACCGAGTAAGATTACTTAAACCCTCTCTGCTACTTCATTCTATTTCGGTTTTGAAGGAATCGTGTGAGTTAATTTGGGGGTTTTTTAGGATCTAATGGCGCCCCTAATGAGCCGACGGTTTTGGACAAGGAACAGGTGAGTGCCCTTTTCTTCATTGTTCTAAAGTTTCTACCTTTGGAGTTTGAATATGATTTCAAGTATACCCAAGATTGGAAATTCATGGTCAGATTGTTTAATGGGGGTTGGGAATCTGTGTATTCTTTGAATTGGGGGTAATCAGATTTGGTATAGTTTGTCTAATTGGTCAATGATGGCGGTGTTTTCGACATTAGTAGTGAAACCGAGGCATTTCACGGGAGTTAGGATGGAGCAATATGGTTGATGTTAATGGATTTCTATTCTTTTTGTTATAAATTGTTGCCATAAAAGTTGTGTTATTAAACAATGTTGGCGTTTTGGAAAGACTTGAAGTTTGTTTTCAATGAATGTGCAGATTTTTGGTATGGCCGAGAAGGAGATGGAATACAGGGTTGAGTTGTTCAACAAGTAAGTTTTCTGAACGGTGTTAGATATCACAGTTCACTAATGTGGTTTTATATGGAAGGCGGCGAGGGTTGTTTCTTCAAGCCTATATTCTAGTTTGAGAAATTTTTAGGGGCTTTTTTCCGTAAGCGTGATCATTTATTTGTTTCTTTATTTTGGCTTGTACCTGTTTAACTATTATTTCCGTTGGACTTAATACTTTGTGTTGATGAGCATGTATGATTGTTCACTAAAAAACAAGGCTTCTGAACAATAGTTCTAAAGCAATCGTATTTGGTTGTCTTGTGGCTTCAATGTGTGAGCATTTTAGTCTTTTCTGTTTGTGTTATACACTTTGACTGAGCACATCTATTTAGGTTGCGAATTCTGCTTTGGTATCTGCAATTTTCCATGTCTAATACTTTGGCTCCGATGGTTACCGGTTTTCACTTACGCATTTAATTGGTTATTGATTCAGGCTTACCCACACATGTTTCAACAAGTGCGTCAAGAAGAAGTATGAGAACCCTTTTCTTTTCTCTATTTAGTTCTTATGGACCTCTATGAAAGATACGCAGCAGTTTACTTTAAGGCCCTTTTTTGAAATCTAAAGTCACTCAAGTTAGTAAATGTGAATTGTCAAATACATCCAGGTACAAGGAGTCTGAGCTAAATATGGGTGAAAACAGTTGCATTGATCGGTGCGTGTCCAAAGTATCTATCTGTTTCATATGATTTTAGTGCTAGTGTATTGGATTACGTTATAAGAACAATCCCAGTCATCCTTCAAATATTTTTATTTCTTCATTTCTGCTGTCGTTGATATTTGTCACTTCAATTTATTCTCTTTAGCTACTTCCACTGCATCTCCAAATAATTTCTTTGAAAAATTGGGCATTCATAGTGAAGAGTTCTTAATTATTTTGTTTTCTTGAATAATTGCCATTGTTTTCGACGGTTTGGTTACACCTTAAAATGTTGGAATGCTTCTACCTTTTCGGCAGCTTTGTTAAGGAAAAGTTATGAGGATTTTCGATGGTTTGGTTACACCCTAATAGAAGTGCTTTTATAGCACATTACTAAACATTCAAGTGCATCATGAAAAAGTTCTTTTATAGCACATTACTAAACATAGGTTTTGTTGTCCTTACAACAGTTGTCAATGACCGGGGCTTTGTACTTCGCGACCCTATCTAGATAAGTTAGGGACTCACTTTTGTTTTTCCATCCTAAATTTTTATTTGAACTTTTACACTGCGACCCCTTGGGGTAAGATTCCTGGATCCGCCACTGCCAATCACCATCGATAAGGAACAAAACCTTATAAAGTGAGGAAACCCTTTGGTAATGGTCAATGTGAGACAATGAAATTTCTACCCAAAAAACAAAAATCTCACATCGGTGAGGAAAAGGAAGAGTTTAAATATAATTACTCTGCTCTAACACACACCGTATCTCCACTCTAACTAACACTGTATCGGTGTTGTTGGAGTGAGTCATCAGCCCGTCGACCTAAAAAATTCAACCATGAGAATTCACTTTCTATTACAAATGTGATTTTTTTTTATTAATTTTTTTTAATAATCCTTTAGCCTATAGGGTTTATATATATATATATATATATATATATATATATATATATATATATATATATATATTAAGAGTAATGTGTTTTAGCTAGGATTTGTTATTTGCTTAACTACTCAAACTCTCAGTTGTGGCCCTGAAGGTCGCAATACCTTCTTGTTGTGGTACCAATATTTGATAATATTTGGTTGCAAGGGTTCCGAGATCAGTTACAGATGTACCATCAACTCAAATTACACGGTAAAATAAAAACAATAAAAAATACAAGCACTGTCACTAATTTATGATGAAAAATTAGTGACACCTAATTGTAGTGAAATTGGTAAGGAAAATAAGGAAAACGAGGCACCTAAACCTTAAATGCCTCTAAAATAATTGGTAGATATATGATGATGAATACCTCTGTACGTCCCTTTCTTTCATCATTTTATAAAATCTCAGCATATGAATTTCTTGGAAGAGAAGCAAGTATATGGACTACTTCAAAAACTTCGAGTTAGGTAACACGTAAAATATCATAATTAGTAACTCCAAAGAAATGCAACCACAAGGTGGGTGGAAGCAAATTTAACAATGCATGATAACATGGTTTAGCTGACTAGCTACACTATTTGAGAATTTCCATGGACGGTGACCTCGGCCTCCACCAAGCAAGTATCCTTTACAAAATCGCCCTTGCCGGCCTTACTGCAAGTGTCCAGTGCAATGAAGTGAGACCAACCCCAACTCAGACTCGAGGCATCAAACCATTAATTAGTAGCAACAGGAAGAGAATAGAATTATTTCACTTATACACACACACACAAAAATAATTCAGAGACCTAATTTTCATTGAGGTGATAGTTCAGGGACTAAATCGGCACTTCACCCTATATATTATTAGAACATGTGCGTCCAATCTAATACCAATAAATTAGCAATAGCATGCAGAGACTTGAGATTATTTAAAATATTTAGGCAAAGCTTCCTTTTTCGATGTGGAATATCTAAACGTAGTTAATTATATATCCACGGAAATAGTTCAACCTTTATTTACGTGTAGTACCTTTTTGACAATGATTAGTCTTGCGATTCATTCGATAGACAATGCGCAGGGAAATCTCCACACGCGTTTTCGAACAAGGAGGGAGGGTTTCTGGATCAGCCAATGCCAAGACGAGAGAAATATGAGTACATTTTCCGTTCGAGTCTTCCTTAGGATGGAGCACTATCTTCCTGTAACCACAAACAGTACGTGAAATTTAAGTACAATGCCTTATTTATAAGTTGATTTGATCTTCAAGAATAATGCTTCATTTTGGGCACTTAATCTGCTAGACTATATTTCAAATTGCATAGTGAAATTGGCTAAAACAAAAATTATTGATGTTGGTGATGGCCCATGCTTGGTTATGTTGGTGGAGCAATACTTTAATACTAAAAACAATTTGTCATTGGAAAATTGAGTCCCACATCATATAGTATTACAAAATAATATACATTTTATAAGTGCGAGGTTCACTACTAATGTCATTGGGATAATTTGATAAATGTCACATCTAATAATAGGTAGTTAAGTTATGAACAATATTAGTGATGTTGGTGGGTGGGTGGTGGTGATGTTGGGTCAAAAAGGTTGACCATGCTGGACACAAAGGTATTAAACGAATGACTAAGCCTTCGAAATGTGAGTTGGCTCTAGTAAATAAATAATGAATGGGCTCTTGATAATATGTGTGAGCCCACACATAATAAAATTGAGTAGTTTTTATGTGAGAATTGATTTCCGGTGTGAAACCATGTGGATCTCTTATGCTGAGGTGTGTTAGAAAATATAGTCGACATTGGAAATATAACAAAATAATACACGTGTAACAAACAATACACAGTTTATATGCTGGAGATCCCTGCTAGTATAATAATTGTGTTCAGTGGCGAAGCCAGGAATTCTTGGGGGGAGGGGCGAAATTTAAAAAATTTAGGGTCCTGAAAAATGTGAACATTCATTCGAGATGTAAGTCCTGCATTTGCAAGAATATTATTTGAACCACCCGTAATATTCATAGGAGAATTTGCACTAACCGAAATATTCAAAAGAGGATTTGGACTACTCAAAATAGTCGAAGGAGGGTTTGAAAAACAATATTATTTGAAGGATGATTTAGCACCGTTTCTCGTTGTATCGTCCTATTACTTAACTGTATAATTAGCAAAGTTTTAAAAGATGCTAAGCTCTAGTCAGACGATAGACATGACTTTACACTTCGGCAAGGACCTAGGCAAATTTGAATAAGCAATTCTAGGCCTAATTAATTTCTTTCCAATTTTCATGCAGTTAAGTTAGAGAGATGTACGTACCATTTCTTGTTTCCAACGGTGAATGGTTCTGAGTCGAGTATGGCATCTAACTTCGAAAAGTTCTCAACGTTCCAAAAATGCTTGTACGTAAAAGAATAATAGCTCTTTGATAGAAACTCTGCCTTGGCTGCTCTTTTTTCTGAACAAATGAAGACCTCAGCTCCAACCACGCAGTCGTCATTTACCAGATAGCCATTGGAAGCATCAGTAAATTCTTTCAGTGAGATGAGTTTATCAATACCGGCATCAGGCATCGCCCCATGAAAGCACTTTTGCTTTATATTAGGATCTAAATGCACCAAGAAAATAAATATTAATAAGAAAGACCATAAAAATGATGAGTAATTAATGTCCAAAAGCACATGAAGGAAATTGAGATTCTCTCGTGTGTGATCATTCAAGAATAACACGTTGGGGACATATATTGGGTGACGTGGGAGCATGTGTTGGGCTCAACACGTTGGTACATTTGTTCTGATATATTATGAATGAAGTTGATATTTTACCATAAAATCAATTAGCAATATGTATGAGGATAACCCAATTCCCTAAAGCTATGTAAGGGTGAGGGTTTTTAATTCAAGTCTACAAATGTTACTTAGAGGGGATAAGGAATGTCTTATATGAATTGAACAAATTAAAGCATGTGAGAGGAATTTGAAACTAACACCCTCTAAGTAATGATTTGCAAATCTCTCTCACATACCTTTGTAATACTCATGGAAGACATTTATAATAGCTCTATCTATATTTTATGGTTAATTCCTGACTAACTTGGACTTAATACCTTAAAATTTAGAAGATCATTCAATAAGCATATGCAAAGCCCCTCAGCTTCTCGACGTGACCTCATCAACACATATTAACCGGTCTCTTATTTGCTGGATGCATGCATGAGAAATAGAATACACACACACACACACATACACACATATATATACCTTGGAGAACCAAGTACGATCCCGTATTCTGATCAAGCAAAAACACTCTCAAATCAACATATACTTCCCAACCAGCCCGAAGTGATTTTACCCCAGCCATTTCCAAGTAGACAGAGATGAAGTCTTTCACATTCTTCTTCTTGTTTCCATTTGGGTAGAGCGCCAGTTTCCTGTGAGTATGTAGATATACATAATAGGCCAGAATTATTGCATGTTGAACATAGAAGAAGAAACCTAACATCAACTCAAATGCATTATGTCATGTGTGTGTGTTTGTTTGTTTATTCACAAGGTATCACTGGTGCATTATTCGTGGTTTCCTGATGGTATTAGAACGTCCAACCCAAAATTAGATAGTGATGATTGGAGAAATAAAATTTTATGCGTACGAGGATTACAACACAAGTCACATATCCCACATCGACCGTATCTCTAAGGAAAGAAGAGTTTAAATACCCTAACCTCACTCCAACTAATACTGAGGCCTTTTGGGATAAAAGGTCACACCTGACGGATTGTGCAAGTAGTAATTACCAAGTTGCGCACAATATCGGTGTTGTTGGAAGTGGCCCGTTTCTCTGATAATTCTACGAATATGTTATACCTCTGTGGTATATGTAACCGCTTATAATTCTACAAATATGTTATACCTCTATGGTATATGTAACCGCTTATTCTGATTAGTGAAGTTCGGGACATTACGGTAGCATATGCAATTACTTTCTCGAGGTGGAAAAAAAAAGAGGTTCAAGCCATTGCCAATCAATAGACATGGTTTGCTATGAATCTGTGGATCTATTTGTTAGTGGACATTGGTAACAAAGCCACAACTCTATAGAAGTGCTTTTACTATGGACCTGTAGAAATTTTTACTGTATATTCATGTGCTTATTCAGAAAGTACTTTTTAAGACTCAAAAGCGCTTTAAAGTTTTATGCAAAACATAGTCAGAAGCACTTTATTGTTAGGAAAAACTTTTAGCCATTCTAAAAAAAATTCAAACAGACCCTTAAACAGCAGATATGAGAATGGGGATTACCATTTGCATCCTCCAACTTCAAATTCCGTTGATTGATGTCCATGTGCTGAATGTTTCTTTAGCACTGAAAACTACTTTATTTTTTTAATGTGCGATGGCAAGTGCCTTCGCCCATGAGCGGTAGGTCTCGGGTTCGAGACTTGGGAGCAGCCTCTCCATAAATGGGGGTAAGGCTAGCCGACATTCACCTCTCCCAGACCCTGCTTAAAGCGGGAGCCTTGTACACTGGGTACGACCTTTTAATGAGCTGGAGGTGAATTTGAATATGATCTGGAAACCTCTGCAACAAAATAATATGCATGGAATAACGTAAATATACTTATATATATATGCAAGGAAACACAAGAATAACGTAAATATACTGATATATATATATATATATGCACACAGATATGCAGAGAGAATCTTACCATGGTTCAAACTGTGCGTGATAAAATTGAACAATGCCATCAAAATAATAGCATGAATACATCCCCGGATCGAGTTTAGTTTTACGGCAAGCTGACTATAATGCTTTAGCAATTGCAAGGACGGTGATGTCTGCCTCCACTATGCAAGAATTGTTCATCAAAAACCCCTTGTCTGCCTCATTCAAAATGGCCAGTGTGACGAATGAGGACCAACCCCAGCTCCTTTGGGAAGCGCTGAACCAAGTAGTACCTACAAGTAAAAACAATTCTCTATAATTGCTGCACTCTATTTCGAGGTTCGATTAATTAAAAAGTGGGCATCGAATCTTTCTTGGTTTTCTTTCAGGTAAGGTTTATATTCCTTTCTTTTTTATGTATTTTTTTTTAATGGTTAATATCCTTGTAATTTTTTATTTTCTTAAAATTCTTCTTGTACCGTTGAGGTTTAAAAGAAAAAATTCTTCAACAAAAGGAGACTATACATGTGTGTGGTTACATTACATATAACATAAAACGCAGAGACTCTTTACCTGGTAGACAACAATGATGCTTGAGATGCATTTGATCTACAATGCGCAAGATAAACTTTGTAAGGATTTGGGTTCGAGGATGTAGCTTTTCTGCATCAGCCAATGTTAAGTAAGGTGCAAAATGAGTACCCTTTGAAGTACTATTTCCCTTGGGATATATCATTATCTGCCTGCAATAACCAACAAATTAGTGTAAAGTAAAACTCCAAATAACATACAGGTTTTATAGAAGATGCATGAAGTTTCATATATCAATCTAAATATATAACTGAAACTGAAAGCATCGATCTCCTTTCGTTCCTGGTGATAGAGAGAAGAAAGTTGACAGTAGTTTTTATCAAAAAGAATGCTTGCTTAGTTTACCATCCCTGGTTCGCTGCGGTGAATGGTTTGGAGCAATAATATTCATCTTTTAACATTGAAAATTTCTCAATCTTACAAACATGCGTGTACTTCGCAGCATTCTTGGTCATTGATATGGACCTTCCGTTGCCTGCTCTTCTTTCTTTACGAACAAAGACCTCCACTCCAAATACACAGTTGTTGTTAATGACATATCCATTGGAGGCATCAGCAAGTTCTTTAAGGGAGAGAAGTTTATCAAAACCCACATCAGGCGCCGCCCCATGAAGGCACTTCTGCATTATCTTATCATCTAAGTACCGCAACACCAAAAAAAAATCAGTAAAATTAAGCGATGTGTTTTGCATATAATGAAATATTAACTGGTTCATTTGATCTGCTGGATGCATGAGAATTAAATGTAAATAGATGGGTATATAATATAGGGAAATGATTTCCTCACACTCCCCTGATTCTTCTTTGATTAGATTTATTCAATACAGAGATAAGGAGAAAAGGAGTATGTGGATATCCCTTAGAGAAAACACACACACACACACATCAGATATACCTTGAAAAACCTCGTAGGTTCCTTTTTCCTGATCATCCAACCAACTAATCTTCCAATTATTTGCATATACATACATATATACACACACATATATATGCTTGGAATATGTATTTAATTATTGCAGAGAAGCAAAACGGAGAAACGAGAAAATTAAAGGGAAAAGGAAAAGGGGAGAAGAGAAAGAGAACTGAGCAATCTTTCTTCTTCCCCTGAAAAATTAACAAAGGTTTCAGAATGGTGCTGATAATGATTTCTACAGCTTGCAACTAGTGAACGATTGTGGCTGAATGTATAGAGAGAGTGTTCTCTTAAAAACAATTCTAAGAAATCAACTTCCACATCTTTCAATCAGTGCGAGCATATAGGAAATGTAAAAGACATATAATTTGTTTATACAGAGTTGACATCGGGAGGGCCACATTTTCGGCCTACCACTCTTCCGAATATTTGTGTAAAACGTGTAAGTTCAGGACATGCAGAGCATCAAGAAAGCATTCAACTCAACATCATTTCAAAGACAAACTTATCAGTAAGAAATTTAACAAAAGAATAGAAAACAAAAGGCGAAAGCATAAATCTTTTCTCGCTAAAGAGAAAGCAAAAGGCTTAAAGCATGCCACACAAAATGCTGAAAGAATACCTTTTCAGCTTATATAGGATTTCAAGCTCAACCACCAAGTTCTTGATGAGAAATACGTACAAAAAGAAACTGTGCAAAGGTCTAATTAAACCAATGTCATAACAATGAAACGAAAAGTTTCACATGCCGAAACTGAAACACACACAACACTGCTACAACTTAGAAATTAAAATGCCAATTATCTAAAGCTAGTCAATTCTACTTCACATGGCATTAGACAATAACACAGATTTTTCCGACTAATGACAAGTCCGCTTCTAAATGTAATTGGTTTTCTCAAATCATCTTAAACACAGAATATTGAATGTACAATTACAGGGATTGTCGAACCTATGGACTCCTGCAGATGGGTAAGGATGACTTGCAGCAGGACGAGCTCTTTCAAAGGCCAATGCAGCTGCCCTAGAGCTTCAGGCCCCCTATGTTGAAATAAAAATCAATAAGTTTTTAATATATAACGAAACCCAAATGCGCAATGGCTATTCAATGACAGGTGTTTATGCATAACTCAGGCACATTCATGCATCAATAATATATCACAACACTATATTCTTCTCTGATGTGTCATGAATTAAACATGTGCCACAAGAATGTGATCGCATTGAGACAGATACACACGGAAAAAAACATAAAACATTAAGTGAAACACATAATAATGAATTTATATGTTTAATTTACAAGGGTTGTCCTTACCCATGGACTCCTGTAGAAGCGTAAGGTTGACTCGCAGCAGGACAAACTCTTCCAAAGCCTAAAGGAAGAGAATACAGCTGCCCTTGAGCTTCAGGCCCCCTATGTTCAAATAAACCAATAAGTTTTTACCAAAGCCAAATGCTCAATGACCATTCAATCACAGGTTTTTATGCGGGACTCAGCACACTCATACATCAATGATATATCACAGCACCATATTTTTCTATGACATGTACATTAAACATACACCAAATAATTTTGTGACCGCATTGGGACTAATAACAAAGACAGAAATCATATAACACCAATTGAAACACTTTTAAGGAATTTAAAAGTTTACAGTTCTTGCTGTTGTCATTACCTTCGACAAAACATTTACAAAGCCTGTTTATTTCTTAAGAAAAATAAAGGTACGGTAGTTAAGCTTGGCAAGTCAAATTAACAATGCACATAGGATTCCCCCCCCCCTCCCCGGGGGAAGCCAGTGCTTAATTTCATGGTGAAGTTTGACATAAGTGCATCAAAGTCACTACTAAGCCATAGATTATCCTAGTAAAATACATGAGCTTAATGCTTAATTGAGCAGAACGAGTAGCACTTAACGTAAGATAAATCAATTTTCTTCCAATATTAATTCATTCTGGAAATCGAATTTGGCTTCCTAAATTTTCTCACCAACCAAACAGAAAGAGCTGGAAAAAGTAAATCTGTGAAATTCTCGCCAATGGAGCTCAAACTGTCCTAATTTTCCACAATACTAACTTCCCGAAACCTAAAATTTGATTCTAGACAAACCCCTCGATTCCGAAACCCCAGCTTGACCAGAAAGACACCAAATTTAGCACTAAATTCTCCAAAAAAAAACATAAAAATCAGCAATGGCAGCAGAAAGAGCTAAACAAATTAAAAAGAAAACCCCGGAAAAATTAAAGACTGGGAAAACAAAAACGCTAATAAGAAACGTACTCAAATGGAATGCAAACCTGCCAAACTGGAGATGCGAGCTTGTATTTGCCAGAGAACTTGCACATATTGTTCAATCTTGGTAATAACTTCAGCAAATTTTTAAAAAGTCCCTTCCTTACCCATACACCTACAGAAGAAAAAGAAGAAACTAAAAAGTCCCTTTCACGGCCCAATACCCGATTCGACTCGTTCCGAGTCGGACTCGTTGTCGTGAAACCCAGCCACGGACGAGCTCGGAGAGGCAGGGGGAGTCGTAGTCGCCGGAGTGCTCGCTTCCTTTCCTGGCATCACTAGGTCCGGAGCTGTATCCTCATACGAGTCTATCTTTCACCCGGTCGTCGAGCGGGTAAGTGACCCGTTTCGATCTCATTCTAACAAAACCAGTCATTGATGATCAAACAGTTTCTCCTTCCTACTTTTGTTTCAGTAAATCGAGGGAAAGAAAGAGGGAAAGAAAGAGAGGGAGATTTTGGGTCTGCGGGGAAAGGTTCAAGATTGGGTTCGAAAGAAGGGGAAAGAAGGAGGGAAAGAAAGAAATGGAGATTTGGGGTCTACGGGGAAAAAAGGAGGGTTCAAGATTGGGTTCGAAAGAAGGGGAAAGAAGGAGGGAGGGTTCAGATTTATCACAACTCAGAAATAAAGAGGGAAAGAAAGAGGGAGGGTTCAGGTTTGGGGAGAGAGAGACCGAGTGAGCGAAAGGGAGAGAGAGGGCGATATGAGCGAGAGGGAGAGAGAGGGTGATTCACCTGCGTGAGAGGATGAGGGAGACCGAGTGAGAAGAGAGAGTTCGGGAGACCGAGTGAGAAGAGAGAGTGCGGGTTTATCACAGATAGCGAAAATTTAAACAAAGCGCCTATTTTTAACAAGTGCACCGCCAAAATTATCACACATTGCGCGACGCAGGTTTAGGGTTTCGACGTCGGGCAAATGGTTTTTGCGCGATGAATACACATGGCGTCGCGGTATTTTTTTTTTTATAAATATTATAAAATGTACTAAAAATGTAATTTTACTGCCTTCAAATTCAATTTTTTTTTACATAAAACCCACAATAATATATTTTTATAACAATTACAATAAATTTAAAGCTACTTAATAAATATACATGTTTTTCAATTTCTTAAATGTTATACGTATAAAATAAATAAATTTAAATTTACTTAATATACATATACACACATACCATTGAAATTGATGAGATACGCATTATATGAAACTAATTTGAACGATCAAACCGTCAAACTTGTTTGTATATACTTCGAGATCGCATACATCAAAAATTGCAAAAAAAAAAAAAAAACATTCAGAGATTAAGTAACGGGACAAAACTTTGCGACGGTTATAAACGAAAAATCATGATTTAACGGTGGTTTTAACTCCGATTTTAATGATTTTTTACAGCTACACTCCTTGATCCTATATGAATACAATGAACTAATTCGATCGTCAATTTAGAATATTTACACAAGTGGATATCACAAAATCTTTATGTTATACTTAATGAAAGTATAAATAAACTCTAAGTGTTAGTGAATCTATCATTTTGATGGGATACGCATTCTATGAAGCTAATTTCAAGGATCCAACCGTCAAACTTGTTTGTATATGCTTTGAGATCACATACGCAAAAAATCGAAAAAAAACAAACATTCAGAGGTCGAGTAACAGGATAAAACTTTTCGACGGTTATAAACCAAAAATAACGATTTAACGATAGTTTTAACTCCGATTTTGATTATTTTTTATACCTACAGTACTTGATCCTATATGAATACAATGAACTAATTCGATCATCAATTTAGAATATTTACACTAGTGGATACCACAAAATCTTTATGTTATACTTAATAAAAGTATAAATAAACTTCAAGTGTTAGTGAATCTATCGTTTTGATGGGATACGCATTCTATGAAGCTAATTTTAAGGATCCAACCGTCAAACTTGTTTGTATATGCATCGAGATCACATACGCAAAAAATCGAAAAAAACAAACATTCAAAGGTCGAGTAACGGGACAAAACTTTTTTACGGCTATAAACCAAAAATTACGATTTAACGGTAATTTTAACTCCGATTTTGATTATTTTATATAGCTACAGTACTTGATCCTATATAATACAATGAACTAATTCGATCGTCAATTTAAAATATTTACACTAGTGGATACCACAAAATCTTTATGTTATACTTAATGAAAGTATAAATAAACTTTTAAGTGTTAGTGAATCTATCGTTTTGATGGGATACGCATTCTACGAAACTAATTTCAACAATCAAACCGTCAAACTTGTTTGTATATGCTTCGAGATCGAATACGCAAAAAATCGCAAAAAACAAACATTCAGAGGTTGAGTAACGGGACAAAACTTTTCGAAGGCTATAAACAAAAAAATCATGATTTAACGGTAGTTTTAACTCCGATTTTGATAATTTTTTATAGCTACACTCTTTAAATCTATATGAATACAATGAACTAATTCGATTGTCAATTTAAAATATTTACACAAGTGGATACCACAAAATCTTATGTTATACTTAATGAAAGTACAAATAAATTCGAAGTGTTACTGAATCTATTATTTTGATGGGATACGCATTGAACGAAACTAGTTTCAACGATCCAACCGTCAAACTTGTTTGCATATGCTTCGAGATCGCATACGCCAAAAATCGCAAAAAACAAACATTCAGAGATTATGTAACGGGACAAACCTTTTCGAAGGCTATAAACGAAAAAATCATGATTTAACGGTAGTTTAAACTCCGATTTTGATAATTTTTTATATCTACTCTTTAAATCTATATGAATACAATAAACTAATTCGATCGTCAATTTAAAACATTTACACAAGTGGATACCACAAACGAAAAAGTCAATGCAAGAACCCAAAACGGATTTGCGCAACGCAATTATACATGCGTCGCGCAAAGTCTTCTGTTTTTTTTTTTTGGCCCTTTTGCTTATAAGTACAAAATAAATAAATGAAAATATACTTAGTAAATACATATACCATTGATTTTGATGGGAAACGTATTGTACGAAACTAGTTTGAACGATCCAACCGTCAAACTTGTTTGTATATGCTTCGAGATCGCATATGCCAAAAATTACAAAAAAAAAAATTCAAAGATATAGTAACGGGACAAAACTTTTCGACGGTTATAAACGAATAATCACGATTTAACGGTTATTTTAACTCCAATTTTGATGATTTTTACAGCTACTCTCTGTAACCCTATATGAATACAATGAACTAATTCGATCATCAATTTAAAACATTTACACAAGTGGGTACCGCTGCGTCGCGCAAAACGGATTTGCGCGATGCAATTATACCTGCGTCACGCAAAGTCTTCTGTATTTTTTTTTTTTGGCCCTTTTGCTTATAAGTACAAAATAAATAAATGAAAATATACTTAGTAAATACATATACCATTGATTTTGATGGGAAACGTATTGTACGAAACTAGTTTGAACGATCCAACCGTCAAACTTGTTTGTATATGCTTCGAGATCGCATATACCAAAAATCACAACAAAAAAAATCAGAGATTTAGTAACGGGACAAAACTTTTCGACGGTTATAAACTAAAAATCACGATTTAACGGTTATTTTAACTCTAATTTTGATGATTTTTTACAGCTACTCTCTGTAACCCTATATGAATATAATGAACTAATTCGATCATCAATTTAAAACATTTACACAAGTGGATACCACAAAAGAAAAAGGCAATGCAAAAACCCCAAAAAAAAAAATGAAGACTTTGCGCGACGAAGGTAATTTTGGCCCTTGTGCTTATAAGTTATAAGTACAAAATAAATAAATGAAAATATACTTAGTAAATACGTATACCATTGATTTTGATGAGAAACGCATTGTACGAAACTAGTTTGAACGATCCAACCGTCAAACTTGTTTGTATATGCTTCGAAATCGCATACGTCAAAAATCACAAAAAAAAACCATTTATAGATCAAGTAACGGGACAAAACTTTTCGACGGTTATAAACGAAAAATCACAATTTAACGGTTCTATTAACTCCGATTTTGATGATTTTTTACAGCTACACTCCTTGACCCTATATGAATACAACGAACTGATTCGATCGTCAATTAAAAATATTTACACAAGTGGATACCACAAATTCTTATGTTATAGTTGATGAAAGTATTAATAAATTCCAAGTGTTAGTAAATCTATTGTTTTCATGGGAAACGCATTGTACGAAGCTAGTTTGAACGATCCAACCATCAAACTTGTTTGTATATGCTTCGAGATCGCATACACCAAAAATCGCAAAAAAAATAAAATTCAAAGATCAAGTAACGGCACAAAACTTTTCGATGGTTATAAACGAAAAATCACGATTTAACGGTTATTTTAACTCCGATTTTGATGATTTTTTTACAACTACACTCTTTAACCTTATATGAATACAATGAACTAATTTGATCATCAATTTAAAACATTTACACATGTGGATACCACAAAAGAAAAAGGCAATGCAAGAACCAAAAAAAAAAAAAAAACTTTGCACGACGAAGGTACTTCTGCGCGACGTAGGAACTTTTGCGTCGCGCAAAGCTGTTTTGCACGACACAAAGGCAGTTTGCGCAACGTTTTGTATTTTCCGTCGCGCAAAGTATTTTTGCGCGACAAAATTTTCTCCGTCGCGCAAACATGTTGTGGCCTTGAAAAAGGTCATTATACCTAGGGCTGGGCACGGGCCGGGGCGAGCCGGGCCAAACCTAAGTTTGTAGGAACCGGAGCTTAAACGAAACGGGCCGGGATGGGGCGTGGATTGGATTTTCTTGTATAGGAACCGGACATTACCCGGCCCGGTTAAAACGGGCCGGTTCGGGCGGGTCCACGGGTACCCATTTTTTCTTTTAGCCATAGAAGGGACGACCTCGTTGAGGTCGTCTTCCCCACCACATACGAGAACAAGCAGCACAGCTGCAATAAATGAAAGCCCAGATGCAAAAACAACAAATCAAACCCCTTTAATCATGCACACAGACAAAACCAACCACCAAACAATGATCAAAACATCA